CGCACCGTTGCCTACCATAAAGTATTTACAAGTAGCAGTCATCTTCCCTGGTTGGATCTCGGGGAGGGGCTTCTGCTCGTGGGTCAGTTGGCTCCTTGCATTTTAAGTTTTCCATAGAAAACCAGCCTACTCTAGGGTCAATGTCCCCAGAGACGTCATCGGCATGGTCTATCAAATGCAGCTGCGACAGTGCTCCTCCAGCGTAAGGTCCACAGAGACGCCAGGAACTGTGCCAGAGGTAAATCGAGCTGTTTTCACAGTGGTCACAGGGGCACAAAAGCTGTTGTACGACGTGGTGCCTATGAAGAGGAACAGAAGTCACTGCTGAAGGAGGTCCCTTTTGCTGCTCACGGTTATAATACAACATTTTTACAACCCCAACAAAGTGCTTCTCCTTCCTTTGTAGAACTTGCTTAGGTCCTTGTCGAACCTCTTTTTTGGGCAGCTGCTTGTGCTGGATAGTCACTCCTGAGGTTTTCCCAAAGCCTCGTACTTCAGAGTACCCCGAGTACTGAAACAAGCTTGTGGAATAAGTTTTGAACTTTCTGAGGCCTAAATTGCCCGGGCCAGCAGCAGGCATCGCGGTGCTTGCGAAGGGCAGTTCAGACAGCGGCAGCGCAGGAATGGTTGTGCAGGCGGGAGCGAGGAGCGGAGCAGCAGGGGACACCAACAGGAGGTGTTTCACTCCAAAAACGCATTAATGCAAACCTGACTTCAAACTCCGTATTCCTAAATTTGCTGAAAATTCGTGGCAAATACATTTCATTTGTCAATGTAAGGAACTTAAGCATGGACTAGTTCAAGTTAACCTGAAATAAATTTGAAGTCTGGGCAAGCCTTTAGTAGATCACGTGGATGCTTGACTCAGTATGCTCTGCATTTCAATTATCTACACAGACCTTTTGGCTGAATTATTTGTGACTTATTCATCCTTATCTTAAGCACAAGCCTTCTCCCTTCTCAGGCAATGGTCTATTTTAGGGCTGCAGTCTCAAAAGAACCTGCAAGTCTCTCTCTCACCTTCCTTTCACGTTCTGTCACCAAAGCCATCATGATAAAAACGAAGGTACGTTTTTTCCCAAAGCTATTCTGAGTTCCAGAAAGAGCCTACGCGATGCTAAAAAATGTGTGTGGTATCAACAAACCCGCTGCTGGGCTGCGTGTCTCTCACTTAGCGGTGGAGTTATCAGAAGGGAGAAGGAAACTGGAAGTAGCTGGAGCTCGTCTATGCTCTGACGCGCACAGCGCAGCGACTGAACCTCTCCATCTGGACTGGGGATGCCTCTGCCCTGACCTGGTCCCTAAGACAACTCAAAGCCAGAAGTTCATGAAGGCATAATTAGCTTCTCACTCATTACTACATTCATGGGAGGAACTGTGACAAGAAACTGAAACAAAATAATATATAAAGTTTGTTGCGCTTTTTTCCCCATAGAAACTTCTTACTGGTCAGAGCTTCATTAAGACGTATCAGCAAGATAAGAATCACAATTAGAATCGAGACTTTTTTTCCTGCAAGCTAAATTGCTCCTGAAAAAGAGTACTAAAGGTTAAGTTATTTATTTAAATTCTCTAGACATGAGACACTATCACTTAAGAATACTGAATCCTAAACAGCAGTGTTTGGAAGAAAGCAGTCTGATCTCTTACAGAGAAAGACAGGCACATTTTTCTCCATTTAAGATTTCAACTTGAGAACAGAAATATTTCCAGCTTCTTTCTCAAGCCTTCAAAACAACTGCATCTCACACGCCACGGTGTAATTTTTCCTCAGGATATCTCGAGGGATTTATGTTATCTAACGTCAGCGTTACAGGCAGCAGCTCCTTGACATGCTGATGCCAAGATACAGCCATGGAAGTGTGGGAAGAGAAAACCTGAGGGTTTTGGTAGCTGTTTTGTGTCAGGTAAAACGAGCTTTCCTCAGAATTTGGCAACAGGAGCCTTTTTAAAAATGAGGTAGAGCAGTAGTTATTTTTCCCCAGGGCAGGAAGAAAGAGCTATGCTTCCTGACAAGAAGTAAAATGTTTTACAAAGCTTACAGATGAAGGTGGTGGCACGTACAGGTGCAGGAGCCCGATTCTCTAAGAGCAGAGACTAGCAGGATACGCTTTTTCTCTGCCCGTCTTAATTACTCGCCGAGAGGGCTGTTTGCGCTACGAAAATCAAAGTAGAAATCCACTCGTCTCATACGTATTCTCCCCTTCATTTTTGCAGAATTCCAGCAGAGCCATTTCACGAAGCAGTTCAGCACTTAGGAGCTTAAGTTATTTTCAAGCACCGTGTGCTATCTACTAACACTTCCCAAGTGATGATAAGCCACGTCTGGGTACACAACACCCAAAATATAAAAGGGCACTCTGCCAGACTGTGCTTTTAGCCACGCTTACTGCCGTGGGTCTCGTAGGTGCAAACGGTAATCATTTGTTCCTTTAATAATGGAAAAATGCTTACGGCAACAACAGGTACGATACCCCGGTGACCCCTAATAACATGAGAGATGTCCCGTACTCACCTACAGCCTCTGTTTTTGAAGGGATGATAAATGGACCAGGAAAAATAAAGCTTGCTTTGATGAGTACCGAGGTTCTGTTTTGCCTATGCAATTAAGTTTAATGTTACGAAGTCGTAACTGCGTTTACCTACTCCCCATTAAGAGTATTCGAAGATAGTATTATCTTTGAAACCACTATATAAACCGGGTTGGGTCTTTTGTCACAGCTGCAAAAAATGTGAAAAGTAATTTCTGACTGTCTGGTTTGGAGCATGATGCAGAAAAGGTAGATTAGCCAAATAAGTTATATTTCTACTTCATATCGTTACATTTAGCTTCTGCCTATTAAAATGTTTCCACCATTATCAATGCTACCAAAAAATAATTACAAAATTACTTCTTTCCAGTTTATCAAAAAGGAAAACCTCAATTAAATCAATACCAAGTCAGACGGTGATGAATACAATATTCTAAACTGGATTTATTGTTTCCAGACATTAATGCAATACATAAACACATTAAAAGGGGGGATATAGTAACAAGCAACCCAGTAACAGAAACAAAGCAAGTCTTTGAAATTTTTGTTCAACACTTACACATGAAAATGTCCCAAAAAGTTTAAGTAGTTGTCAGTCAACATATCAAGGATTTCAGATACAAAAACCCCCAAACAACTCATGTTTGTTTTGGTTTTGGGTTTGCTTTTTTTTTTAATTTATTTTTAGGATAAAAAAGAATAATAATTACCTCATGCAGTGTACAAAGGCTTTAAAATAAATCCATTAATGAAAATAAAAGACTAACTCCCGAGGTTTGTTTTTTTTTTTTAACACCAAAAAAACCTCAAGGAGTTTCACAAAATTAATTTGAACTAGTTTTCTTAAATCCTTTCTTAGCACTGAAGAAGAAACCTGTAACTTCCTTGCACTGCAGAAATTTACTCAGAGGTACCTCTTTCAATACAAATATGTTCTTGTAATATATCTAGGCATTCTTTAATTTACAAGAGCTTCAAATGCAATTAAGTGCAAAAATGTTTTCTTAGCGTTTTCCAATTATTGAGGTAAATAGTTGGGGGGAAAAAAAAAGAAAAAAAAGAGGGTAGCAAGATATCAACTGTACGTACACCAGATGGGGAAAAAAAAAAAGGCAAATCTGAAATACATGGTTATGGTGCACAAGGGAGATGCGAGAGAAGGACTGAGGAAGAAATAACAGCAACACTCAACAGTTCCCCAGCAGAACTTTAAACCAAAGCCCTTGAAATCCACTCAGATCACCAATAGCTGAAAATAAAGTGTGTTTATTAGCATGTCTGGTGAGCTGGACTACCAGGGAAGAGGCCGTACAATAGTCACAATTATAGCTGACTGCCTGACAATGCTGAGAATGTAAATGCTGCTCTAACAGCTGCATCGCGTCCTGACCAACTACACAAAGACTAAAAGATCCATCAAATGATGAGTTCCTGACGGCAACAACGGGGTCACAATTACAGAGCAGTAGCTTCTATAGTAAATAATATAACGTATGGCAAACGAGACTGAGTTAGCAAAATGTGTTATAAAAAAGTATAAAAGTTGTTTTTAAAAACTTTCTAAAAATTTCTTCTTTTGGGAAGGAGGAATATTAATCTGTGGCCTGGCATTATTACAGTAACTGAAGTGGTTGTATCAGAATGCTGGTGATCGACCTCTTGCAAATCAGAGGTGCGTTTGTAAAATGCCCCAGGGTGAATGCCTGAAAGCTGGCCAGACAGTCGGGGAATTTTAATATCTGCAGCAGAATCAGCTGTGTTTGTAGAGGGTGGACTAACACTTGGGTCGGAAATCTCCTTACTTGGTATGCAGAGGATAGTGTGACGCAGAGGATCTAACAGACGATTTTCAGTTCAGTCCCACTGTCTGGATCCCAAACACGGTCCTGAGTATATTTTGGGTTTCTTCCTTTTGAACCTGTCTCGCTGGGGAAGGTGTTCGGTTGCATGCCTGATGAGCCGTGGCTTTGAGTCCCCACCAAACCCGTCAGAAAAGGCTACTCTCATGAAAAGACATTTTGAACTTGAGGGGGGGAAAAAAAAAAAAA